TCCCACATTTGGGAAATAAGTGCATTCGTAGAACAATCCCTGGTTATGCTTCAGTTGGACTGAATGAGTGGTCGATCGCAATGTGGCACCACGTTAGTTTGCAAAATTGTGGTGCTCTTTTTTGGAAAGGATGTGGGAAATCGTGGAGTAAATCCAACCGTAGAAGATCGGTTGATGCAGCGTCCTGCTTACTGATAGACCACCTCTGTAATGGGTGGAAGGGGAGCAGCAATGGAAAATGTCTGAATGGCTAAAATTAGATGAACAAAATGATGTGCCTGAGAGACAGATATACTTTGACTCGACCCCTCCTGACCTCACCCATCCTGACCTGACCTAACATGACTTTCACCGCGGCGTGGCTGACTGCCTTGGCACTGAGTGTGGTCTGTGTGGGTGGTCTTTTCCCACTTCAGTAGAAGGAAATCAGATACAAGACTTGTCTCGATTTTCAACTTTTGTGATGGTGTGCTATCCTGCTTGTGAACCAGTCATGCGGTTTGTCTCAACGTAGTTAGTCGTCACTACAACCCTGCTGTTTTTTATTGTTCCAAGGTAACATTGACGTTTGGCCTACGCAATCAAGTAATTTGTTTACCCCCCCTCAGACCTAGGCAAACATCTCCTGCTGTTTTAAAATTAACTAATCTCTCTTCATTGTTATATTCTAAACAGTTGTGATGTCGATTGTATTTATAAACTTCTAGGGTTCACATATATGTGACGTAAGTAGCAAATCCCTTCATCTAACACGTAAACAGAAATGAAAATGCTCCTAGTGATCATTTCCTCTACCATGTCTTCAAGAGACAGTCGACTATGGTATATTTGATGTTTTATTGGGACAAAGTAATGTCGACATTCGTCCTACCCAATTGGCCAATTTATCCGTGCCTCCTTACATCAACAAGATTATCCTTCAATTTTGTAAACTTTGCAAATTTGTCTTTAACATACGATTAATTGCTATGTAGTGTTCTAGACTGTCAAAAAATGCGTATCATACAGTTGTGATATAAGCTTCAAGTAATAAAATCGTAACGTCGCACATGTGTGACGCTGGTACCAAACCTGTTCGATCAAATTTTCGTAAATATCGAAATGGAAATCTTGTTTAAAGGGCTTCTCTATAGATCTGCAGTTAGAACCGACAACTCTTAAAAAATTGCGCAATTCCTCACATGTGCAAACAACAGTGGTACCAACTTTCCATTCCACAACCCATTGAAGAAAGTTGTTTTGTTTTACCCTCGCCACACACGCACACGCTCACACACACACATACAAAAGTTGCAAAATTCCATTTAAAAAAAAAAAGTTATTCTTTCACGTGCCTACTATGCAAGAGGAGCATTCATTATGACCTTGTTTGGTTGGCATGCCTGTCAACTACCAAAATGTCACATCTGCAAAATGCTTGGGAGGGTATTTTAATCGTGGAATGTTTCCTTTCCAATGTGTATGATATGCACGTGAGGCTTCAATGATTTTGGTTTCAGGAAGGTCATATACGAATTGTACCGATGTGACAATTTCACTGTGGATTCCTTAATTAAAATATCAAAAAGTTCTTTTAAAGTAAAGTAAAGTAATGTAAATGTCATAAATAAATAAGTGACACCTACATATTTTGTCGTGACACATCTGTGATTAAGGGGGGTCACGGCAGAGCCAACACCCCAAACTGCTTACCCTTTTGTTTCTACTTGTTTGGTGATCAAGAGGGAGGAAGAGGGTCACACAGTGGGAGATGGACTTGGACTTTCTTCCACCAAGGGAATCGGTCTGGTATCTATGATCAGTGAGCGCTTTTTTCCTTGCATCTCAGTCAGGTATTGTGGCTCTGTCAATTCTATTCGATATCTCACTGAGTTTCTCCCTTATAAAAGAAGATAATTTGGAGTGAGGAGATGTCTGATTTGGCACTTTGGATTTCTGCAGTGCTTCGCTGTATCCGTAGTTGAGACTCTTGTCTGCGTGGTACAAACACCGACAGCAGCGCCAAAACCGATGGTGGTAGCGGTAGCAGCAGCAGCAGCAGAAGCAGCCATTTCTGCTACTCTCCACAAGGCACTTATCCCTTTTCACGACCTCTACATATTTATTAATGGCAAAGGAAGGGAGCGGGCTGAAGCTTTATAAAGGAGGTGAGATGGATTAAGATGGAAAAATTGGAGTGAGATGGATTAGGGTAGCATGAAATTAGGGAGATCGTCAAGGAACGACTAACAGTAAAGTCATCTGGATCATGTTTGAGGTGAGGAAAGCATTTGCTTTGCATTGAAGTGAATCAGCTGCAAATGGACAGCTCGTGCTCTTGCGTAGAAGTGGGGATCAAAGTGACTGCCACCTTCTAGACGAAAATATCGTTGAAGACACCGAAAATAAGAGTTCACCACAAATCGGAGAATTGGTTGTGATGTGTCTGACTATGGGATGTGTTGATGACTCCATGTGTGGGGCCAATTGCTAATGGTATTGGAGCAGCCCTCCTAAGCGAAACAAATTGGATCGCCAACTTTTAAATTCATCATTCAGCGTTTCTTCAAGACAGCGATGAGTCGATGGTGACGATCAGCCGGGCTTAGTAGATGCATCCTTGCTATGTCCTGAAGGGAGAAGGCTTCATATCCGTGAGTGGTGTGAAGATGAGAGGGACGCCGAAAACACAGCCAACAAGCTTTAGGCACTACCAACTTGTTCTTCACTTCCTTGTGAAAATACGTGTCATTTTTAGGCTGTTCGTTAAATGACTGACCCATTAGCTTCTCTTTGATAAGTGACTTATGTACTACAACTACAATATTTATACAATGAATCGTATGCTTCCTGTAGGTCCAACAGCACCACGACCCGATGACGCACAAGGAAAGAGGGAGAGTTGAAGAGAAGTCGCTTACTTAGCCCACAAGACAATACCCAACACCACCAATGCTTTTTCGCAATTCCCCCATCATTCTATTCCGCCATCCTCTTCCCTCGTATTTCACCAAGTGGTGATCATCACGGTCTCTTGACGCTTGACAAGACTACACAGGGCGGGACAGACAGTTTGGAAGAGAAAAATAAGATGGAATCTTGCTTGTTTAGTTCTAGTAGCCAAACATTTCATACAGGTAGCATTTATGGCCAGCTTGTGCATAGCTGAGAATTGGTTGATTACTTTGACAGAGCGATATATGTTACGAAGGCAAATCCACTGCATGTGTACTCTCCTGGTCAAATCAGACGTTATCATTTAAAATCTTAAACAGAATTAGTGAAATAAACTCCAAGAAGGGAAAGTCTGTGAGAAGAAGAGAGGCATGAAGAGCTTGAGTTTGAGCCAGGTCAGGTTTCCCACCCGAGTAATTAGGGGACAAAGGGATCAAGACGGCGTCCCTATTTGTCAATTCGTAGGAGTGAGTGGGGCATACCATCATTGGGAAAGTGACTACTGAGTGGCGACCGAAGGCACAGAGCGGTCCCATTCCCGTGCATATTGCATGACCTTGACCCTATCTGAAGGTGATTTTGACCAATCCAAAGCAACTGAAGGAGAACGCATTTTCAAAGGGTTTTAAGATGTTTGGGATAGAAAAACCAATAGGCTGTCTTGACCGTTTTCAAAGGTCATTCTATAATATTTTTATTCTGGAACCTAAATACGGTGGCTGTCCATTTCTCGAAGACGACTTGTCTTCGGGCCAATGGTAGGGTGTATATTAACAAGCGTTAAGAAGGACCTCGAAAGACTGCAGTTTCTTATCTAAAAGGCAAGATGTAGGAACTGTCAAATACCAAGGGCAAATCATGTGACGATTTATATTTATAGAACCTCCATAAAAGGAGGCGTACGATTGTTCTATAGACATGCTTCTAAGACAGCACTGAGCGCTGCAAGGTTGTAAGTGCGGAACAGAAAAGACAAAAACAAAGTGGAATGTTGAATAAATTGTTTAAACGTTCACATTTGCATTTAGCGATTGATTAGGAAAAAAAGTCGGCCCTACAAACACCTCCGTCAAATAAAAAAACAGAAGTTTTCCATTATATCCCGTAATTTGATTGTCAAGGAGGGATGGGATTTCCAGACTGACAATAGAATGATGGATGTACGGATGGGTAGGGAATGTGTGTGGCTGGAAATGACGAATGGATGTGCTTCAATTGCAGCTGTGCTCTTCTAACTTGAAAAGTTACTCAACTCTGTTACTATCTCAAATATTCTGCTATGCTTATAAAGAGTCAAATGTTCAACCTTCTGCAAATCATGCTCACATTTTTTCCTGCTTTTGGATAACCAGCCCTTAATTCCTTAAAGGTAAAGTTGGAACTCTGCTTCCTTAACCAATTATTTCGCTCCTGCCCTCAGCTTTATCTCAACCCATCAAATTGCCCTAACTGCAGTAGCATTGGGCAGAGTTTCAGACAACCTCAGTTCTGTGTGGGAGCACTTTTGTCACGTTCTTTTCGTCCATTCAATTTGTACACTGAAAACAATTCGCATTCATTTAAAAAAAGAGCTTTTTTATAAATTCCAAACAGCTCACCTTTTTTGGTAAATGCAAACACGCAAAAATTTGATTGGCTATTACAAAGTGTAATTTATGCCTCTGGCATTTGCAACACCACCTACCTTTTTCCTTCGCTTAACCAATAATTAGGAAAAAAAAGTGAGTTTTGGACAAGTGCTGTTGTGGTAAGTCCTAACAAATGTCGTATACTGGGGAAAGGTTATTGCCTTTTCCATTGGCTAGGGGTCTCCCTGTCGATCCCCTTGTTTCCCGCCTTTTTTCTGGAAAAAAGAACGACCTTACAAGAAGAATGCGTGCACAGGGGTCTTTACAGGAAAAAAAATGAACAATGACGAAGGGTCTTGGAAAAACAGGGTACACGTTCTGGCACATTCTTGGAGAGCAGTGCTCCCACTCCATTCTGATTGGTCGATACTTGCGTGCCTGCATATTAAGTCAACCAGCAGACGAGGCGGAGATGGGAATGCAATCTTCCTCTTGAGGGCTCAGCACCCCAGCCACCAAACACGAAAGCTAATCTCCCACTCCAATTGGGTATGAGTAGATTGTGTTAAATATCGCCTCTATTCCCAAGGTCTTATTTTAGGTCTACTCCAGTTGGGACCTTGGTCTCATCCTCGTTAAGATAGGTATCCGCTTCGCAAATAAATTTTTACATTATTATAGTAAATGATCATTATTTCAATAACTCTTGACCTTTTTATGTACTTAAAAGGGATCACACTTTAGCGTAATATGGACATTCAAATGTGCTTCATTCTGATTAGTTAGTTAGGGAAAAGTTAATATGACAAAAATAGTTTTAACCTGTGGCTTATGGTTTTCGCAGAACTGTTTGTGATCGAATAAGCAATCACTTTTTATTAATGATGTGCCTAAGTAAAAAGGCGACAAGAACAATAAAATAAGTTTTCAGTAGTTTAGCCTTAAAAGACTTAATGTTACAGTAAAATAGCAGATAGACATTCAGTAAAAATCCGTTTAAAAGATGGAAAAGTATTTAGCTTCATAGAAGGGGCAACTGCGTATCAGTTGGCTGAAACCGCTGGGAAAAACTTAAACGAATACTTAAAACAGTGTACGCAACCTGTACTTGCTCTCCTGCACTACTTAGAAGAGATAAAAGTAGCTTCGGAAAAGTAGGATAAGGGAGAAGGGGTTTATGAAAAAAATTCCCTTAAATTATCCCCCCTAATTAACAGGCGGTTTCCTTTCGAATTGACTTGACAAAATCCACAGATTACCTTGGTATTGTAATTGAATAAGATTCATTATCCTGACTAAACGTCAAGCCACTCCCTAATTGTTACTACACCTGTCACTTACTGACAGGTTTCAACGTCGGGTTCCCAGCATTGACAATTCACTTCCGTGAATTAATCGTCTAGTGCGAATGCCTACCAACTCAGGAGAACATTCTGGTAGCTTTCGATATTGAGAACACTTGTTGTGGCTTCCCCGTTGACCCCATGTGACCAGGTAGCACTATTCACTGTAAGGTCAAGACTATTCAGAATGACATCTGAGTATGTCAACAGGATGACAGGCAAAAAGAAGCTCCAACTGGCCACCCAGTAGGCCAATAGGCTCGCACCAACACGCTGTATTGCTCGTATCAATCACAGCAATGACATTGCTGACTACTGTACAGAAGTCTTCGTCTCTTGGTCATTCTAGATGGGGTGGGTCTGGGTGGTGTCGATGCTCACACAGGTACCCGAGCAGCTCACAATATCATCGTTAGTGTAAAATCAATTGTGACCAGAAGGGAAGCGAGATACCAGACCTACTCCAATCGTCTTCATTGGCAAATCCATTTCATATCTTTACTGCTCCATGTCGCATGTGCTGGGGTAATGCCAAGAGATGGTGATAATGAACATTGGTGGAGGAGGGAGTGATTCAGGAAATGCGGAAGAAGAGGGTGGGTCGGTGTCTCCCTCCTTCACTCCCTTTCCATCCCATCCCCTCCCCATCCTCAGTCGTAGTTCACCTCGTTAATCAAGCACACCATTTCAAAAAGGAAGTCTTGTGTTGCTGGCTGTCAAGAGCACAACTTTCTTTCCATCTACTCACTACTTCTAGTTCTTGTTGTGTCTGAGGTGGAGGAGGAGGAGGGAGGGAGGTCCCTGAGTGAGCATGTGAAGTGTATTGAGCAGACCGTTCCCAATCAGGATCGCTGTTTCACCCCTGGCAAATGAACGAATTCGCCTACTGTCCACCAAATCAACACACCCACGATGCAGGGGTATAGTTATCGGAAGATGAAGTTTGGTGTGAGGTGGAAGTGTTAGGTGGTTGCACAGAGGATCGTCTACCGTGACGTGCTCAATGATGTGCTAGTTTATCCAGCTTGATAACACTTCCACGACTTTTCCTGTTTGGTTGATGGAGATGTCGTTTGATTGTGGGACTACTTCTCAGGGAGTGGATTGCTGGAAGCTCTTCTTCGCACATTGGTTCTCATTCAACGTGGCACCGCCGTGATGACGCTCCGTTATCCAGCCTAGCCATCGAGAGAAGGCCTTCCTGAACGTGACTTTGCTTTTATTTTTTAATGATTTATTAACAGGACCCTGCTATTAAACCACTTATAGGAGTGGAAAAGATTAGGAGTCACCTTCTACTATCACACCTCACCAAATGCCAGACGCATTTGCATCAGACAGGTTTGGATTACCTCCGTCTTGTTCGACCGGAATACGCAGCATTTCAAAATCAAAGTGGCGCACATCCCTCTGTGTTTCGAAGTGCACTCACATAGACAACAGCATGCATTTTACAGTCCTCTTCCACCCACAACAAGTCATTGCAATGAGTCCCGCCAAAAGCTGTGCATCCCACGTTCTCCAGTTGAAAGATCTCATCCGTGGCCTGCTATCCGTAGTCGGTGGTCTATGGGCCTTGGTGGTCGGTTATTCTCTAATTTTCAGGTAGCCGACTTGATTAGTCGACACACTCGTCCGGAATCAGATTAAGTCACCTGTTGCCAACTCCCGGTCGAATATATGCATCTGTCACAGGTTTGGGACAGTCCTTTTTGCGGTCACCACGCATTTCGTCCTGGCTGCAACTCATTCTCACCTAATGATGTCAATCCCACTTGGGCTTCGGGAATGTCACGCCAACTGATCTGCTTCAGCAATTTGTGTCTAGTGTCGCAGACGCTTCTCACGCGGTTTCTTGTGAAGGCAAGGTAGTTGGTTTAACCCACTGTCCACTCATGATTTACACCAAGATGGCAGTGAAAATGAACTATGCTTGCAAAGATACTCTGACCTTGATAATGATAAGGCTGTTGTGAGTAACTCTAGTGACAGGTGAGAGAGTAGAAACCGGATCCTCAATTGCTCCTGCACTTTTTCTCTCATAAAAACGGGCTGCTATCAGAGTCTTTGCTGTCCAGAGAGGAGTAAGAAGTATCTGCAGGTTTTAACGCTTATTAAGCCAACAGGTATGGCATTGGTTATCACCAAACCAAACACTCCCCATCCCCCTCCCCCCCTGGCAAGATTCTAAGTCACTCGCCGCCATCTCCCCAGAAGGCCACGTTTGATCGTGTGCGTATTTAATGGAGTGTTACCTTCGAGGGCCAAATTATTCCCCCCAGCTATTACCTTGTTGGAATTTCCTGCCATAGGACCAGACATAAATTTTACGAACCGGGATTCGGCTGCTTCTGAGAGGCGTCTAGCTGGTACAAGTTTTGGCAGATCGTAAAGATGGACAACATAAAATTCTTGTGCGAATAATATATTCAGACCGCCTCCTTTATAATGAAATTTTCCATTATGGTGGTTTTGCAGCGTCGTATCCGGTGAAGGAAATGCTGAGAAGGTACATATGTTTCAATTTTCTGGAAGGCTCTCTCTTCATGACTCCATTCCCCATCTTTCTAGAACGTTGCGCTCTCTCTCAGTCTCTTCTGATCAGGTGATAGCATGAGGAGATGTGCTTTATGTGTGCTGGTACTCACGAATGAGGTCAAGGTTATTCGATTTGCTATAAGTATCCAAGAGTGAACAAAATTTCCGATATCCGGCCGTACCCGCTAGCCAGCTATCAGTTCCTTCCTTACTCATACCCGTTGGTATACGAAAACGTCTATATCGAAGTCTTGTCCATTGGTTACCCTTGTTGGGAGTCCAGTGAAATCCAAGCTCACACACACAAATCATTTTTAGCAGAAAACACGACCACCTTGCCGATATAATTAATCTCCCACTTCAGTTGGAGAGGTGGAAGACCCTTGGAACGGTCAAAGGAGCAGTCTGACCATAAATAGGTACAAAGTGCGTGGACTGAAGGGTTCGTGTAAACAAATGTGCAATATGGGATGTCCTTTCCGCCTCTCCCCTCGCCCACGCAATTTCTTCGCCTTCGGTCATCACCATGTAGTCGGGGTTCTAAATACCACCTAAGAGACAGGTACCAGTTGTTATGGCGACGAAAAAGACAAGTGACAAGTCAATTCTACGCAGGAGGGAGATTACCTGATATTGTGGTGTTCAAGACAGAACAATGTTGCATAAGCAATGTTTTTACATGTCAATTGGCAGTGGCGTGAACCTTCGGTGAAAAGTAGCTTCAAGGAGCTGTAGCAGCATTCTGAATCTTATCACTTGGTTGTCATGTCAATGTTATTTAATTTGTGGGTGAGAAGCTGTCACTTCAAGTGTTACTTGCCTTCTTATCAAACATGAGATTAAAGTGGCTGAGAGAAGTGGACACGACATTGATAGCCCGCTCTGTGGTGTGTTGACAGATTGTGCCACGTGCAAATGACTCCTCCTTTCAATGATCAGCTACCAAACCGGAAGTAGAAGAGTCGGGGACTGAATAATCCCCACCCAGGTCATTTTATCTTTCATCTCCCTTTCATTTGTCATCTGTATATTCCATTCCAGAGGTGACTATTAAATGTCAAGAAAAAATACGAAAAAATGCAATTTACTATGTCTTTAGTGGGAAAAATTGGAGGCATGCGGTCATGTTATATCTGTTAAGAAAAAGGCATTCTTTCAAATCTCCCCGGGGAAGAGGCCTTCCATGTGCGCCTTCAAATTGTTGTTGGACCTTCAGGAAGCGAAAAATCCAAGGGGAAAGCGCACTTGAAGCAAGCATGATGGTCTGCAGACGAAGCGGTGCACCAATCAGATATTTTGGGTGGGTAGTCTGGAAATCATTAGTCACTTCAGAGCTCGAGAGTTACCCAAACGTGGGAGGTTGACAATCCAACTGCATTTTTGTCTCTTAAAGGGTTCGACTCCATCGCCATTTACTGCGAGTTCTTATACTCCAGATGTTGGAGACTGGTGTAAAGTATACAGCCAAAAAAATCCTGTTATGTAGGCTTCACCGAAATATCGCCCATTCGATAGACTGCATAAACACGTCATCTTCGTTCACCCTCCGTCTAGACTGCTGTTGCGTCTGAAACTCCATTGAGATGCCTGCAGACACATACTCCTCCACAATATTCCACTGAATGGCTGATATTTCCCCTGATATTTCCTGCAACTAACAACTTTTTGATCGTCAAAGATAGTGACTACATGCACACCAATTTAATTAAACAATGTGAAAAAGCTTATTTCTAAAATTTTCCATAACCTACCGACTGCGAAGACCTTTGGGTCGATTTATTAAGGGAGCACGGATAGGAACTTCTGATCGCTATATTTGGCAACCACATAAATGTCAAACTCACCGAGGGCGCTGGAATGTGGCAGTATCTTCATATTATTGTGTGGCCAAATGCCAACGCGTAGCAATGGTTCCCTTCACCCCCCTCGTCTCATAAATGAAAACATTTAATTTTTGGAGTTAAGTTCCAAAAGTACAAAACACTTTTATCAAATGTAAATGTCATTGGCTGCTTAATCGACCTCCAATTGGTTGGCCCTTCAATTTGACGCAATCTTATTGGTGCATTTCTGATGCGATTTGTCAAAAAAACCGCGATCTGTTTTAACACTATTATGATGCCATCCTGGTGGGTTAGGGAAAACGAGGGAAAGCCTAAAAACAAAAGCTAGATCACAATCAGGAAGGCCTTCTCTCGATGGCTAGGCTGGATAACGGAGCGTCATCACGGCGGTGCCACGTTGAATGAGAACCAATGTGCGAAGAAGAGCTTCCAGCAATCCACTCCCTGAGAAGTAGTCCCACAATCAAACGACATCTCCATCAACCAGACAGGAAAAGTCGTGGAAGTGTTATCAAGCTGGATAAACTAGCACATCATTGAGCACGTCACGGTAGACGATCCTCTGTGCAACCACCT